GGACTGGGCAGCAGTATTTCAAAGAGAGGCCGAAAAGTGGCTTTTTTGTTAAGATTCGGGGTTGTAATCGACAGTCATGACAGATAATGCATTTTAATGGGTAGATAGCTTTTTCAAAATGTATTTAAAACGTTTTTATATATTTGATAAATATATTTAAAATAAGTACCACAGGGAACCCAATTCGTGAAATTTGAAAAAAGTAAATCCTCCGTATTTCCCCTCAATGGAATATTTACGTTGGGCTCCCCCTCTAACATTGATAGTACTACCATAATCTACAACTATGCCAAGTTTGGTGCTTTTGTCAGCTCTGTAACGATCAAGACCCTAAGAGACCTGACTAACTCAGAGTAACATCACAAGCATCTTATTCACCGGCCTGAGTACATTACACCAACACAAGAAAATATCATAATTGTTGTACATATAGACTCCTTCCTACAGTACCCAATGTATAATATTGTTTTAATAAATCAGTAACATATAAAGTGTCTATAACAGGGCCGTACATAGCGGGGGGCAGGGGGCAACTGCCCCCTTAAGAAAACTAATTATTCTTGGGATATTTTGGATATATACGTACGGCCCGGGTCTATAAACCGTGTTAAAATCAACACCATGGACATTCAATGTCTATTTGGCTAGTGTCCAAATGTGTATTCAAACATCATTAATAATCCATAAAATTTTTGGGAAATCATGTCAACCATAATATTTTACGTGAAAAGGCTTCATACCTGACAAAACTCATTTTCTTTTGTATTCTTTGACTACTATAGCTGTATAGCATAGCATTGTTTGGGATAGTTTAGGCAAGGGTCTTGGACAAAAGCTGCAGTGTCTACGGAATAGGACTGCAAGAATTATTACTGAATCTGCATGATTATAACATTCGGTCGTCAGATATCTTAATATAACATCATTGAATTGGACCACTTTGATACCAGATTGATACCAATTGATACCATGCAGACGCACTCAACAGTTTAAAACACTTTTAGTCCGTGTGTTGTGACTTCCGAAAAGTTCCCACTCCGTAGACCCGCAGTTTTCTCACAACATGCTATTTTATCTTGACTACTTTCACAGCAAATTTTTTCATTGTTCAACGACACGGATCGATGACGATACACGATATGTCACTCAAAAGTCCAATTTCTATTAACCATTCTTCCTTTTAACAAAAGACCGGTTCTGCTCGAATCATTTTGAGTTATGCAATCTTATGCGTGTTGGACGTAAACAACATATCTTGTCTACAACTTTAAGAAGGTACAGATAATTCCTTCTAGTATCCTTAGTTCTGGATCTATCTCTATTAAATTACAAGGACGTTAATGTTAAGTCTTTGGGCTATATCTCTGAGCTGAGAAATAATTGCTTACATGCGATCAAAATGTTTTATACAACGATGTAAAACAGTAATCTATATGTAATGGATCACATTTAAATTTCCAACACAGTTTCTGAGATGTAATTCAAGAGATAACTTATCATTGCATTTGAACTATTATACATCAGTTGGTGTTATACTGTGCGATAAGCGAATATTATTGGAAAGAGGGCTTCCATATACGCTGAAATCACCAAATAAACAGCTCATGCACACATTTCCCCACTTCGTCGTAAGTTTAAAGGGCATATTTTATACTTTAGGACTCATGTTTGTCTTTGATGTGAACATTTATTCTTATAGTTTAAGGTTATGTAAGATTAATCCTGTCGTAAGTGTTCTACCAGAAACCAATCGAAAATATTTCATTTTAGCGTTGTCTTTGCCGTTACTTTGGCTTTGTGTTACTTCTGTTTTAAATACCTTGATCGCGTTAAAAGAGTTATTTTTCAGGCCATTGACATAGCAAAAAGACTTCGCATTAATGTCCTTGTGATTTTATAGAGATATCTCTAGAACTGAGGATTTTAGAAAGCGTTATCTGTACTTTCTCAAAGTTGTAGACAAGATATGTTGTTTACGTCCAACACGCATAAGATTGCATAACTCAAAATGAGTCGAGCAGAACCTGTCTTTTGTTAAATGAAGACTGGTTAACAGAAATTGGTTCTTTTGAGTGACATAATCGTGTATCGTCATCGATCCGCGTCGTTGAACAATGAAAAATTTGTCGTGAAATTATTGAAGATAAAATAGCATTTAGCGAGAAAACTGCGGGTCTACGGAGTGGCAACCTTTTGAACTCAGCGTGCTTGAAAGTGTTAGTTCCCGTCAAAATATTTCAGATCCAAGACATGCTTAATGAAAGTGAACGAGTGAACGACACCGGGTCACAACACACGGACTATTTGAATAGAACTGTTAATATCATGGTTTCTAGTTAACTTGTCAAGAAAATTTACTCCAACTTCTATGATATACGAACACAATTTGCGAGGCTCCAATCATAATCTTCGTGTTCCAAGACCCTTAACTGAATCCTTAAAGAAAAGCTTTACTTATAGAGGGGTTACCCTATGGAACAACATACCATAACATACCAGTGGAACTCGCTAGAGCTCACTCTCTCGCTGAGTTTAAATTTAAAACTTTTTAATAATTGTATTATATTAGTTTCTTTGCATATGTAGTCTGTAATTGTTGTAAATATTTTTATATTTACTTATTATAAATTAGTTTACTAGCATAGGTACACGTCTCCATTGAAGAGCACGTATTCTAACTAATTGTGAAATAGATCTCGTGTTTTAAATCAATCAATCAACCAATTCTTTATATACAGTAAAAGTCCATCCTAATCAGCATTCTTTATATAAACAATATACTAATGAGACGGCAATCTATTGTAGTCGTGTTTGAAGCTATTCAAAATATTTGTAGTCGTGCTTTTCATATCGAAAGTGCTCGTGCTGCGCATGCACTCGCATGCATTTTAAATATGATAAAACACTCCTACGCGTGTTTTAAACAGTACATAAACGTTTGCCGAACTTGACCTCAGAGGCGCAACGACCTAAACACGCAGTCGCTCTCGAAACCTCTACTGAAATTAACAAGTAAATCAGTGCAAAGTTTATATCGTTTCCAGATCACAACACTTTAGTGAAATATATATTATAAGATTATAAATATGTGAACCAGAGTGGCGGAGGCAGAGCAGAAACGAGTGAAATGAAAGTGCCTATGCCCAAGCCCCAAGGGAACATAAGAACAACAACAAATCATACAATCGTACGATTTCTGTGAATCGGATCGGATTGGACGTTTATAATCCGACAATTGGCCAATGTTTAAAATCCAATCCGATCCGAAATTGTCTCCATCCGAATCCGATCAGATCCGAGTTTTGATAAAGAATTCCTATCCGATCCGAAGAATCCTTTAATAAAATAAATTTCTCATTCAAGTGGAAATATTTGACCAAATAATAATTATTATATATAATTAATTAATTTTATTTCGAATATCGAAGTCTGATCCGATCCAATCCGACTGCGAAACAACTTTATCAATCCGATCCAATTGGAAATGACTATTTTTGTTCCGAAATCCGAACGAATCGGATTTGCACACCTCTAGTTTATATTGCATGATATCCTGACTTGTTGCCATAAAATTAAAATCTGTTTAGCATATCTTTATAATTTAAAAGCAAACAGAAATCAAACTTAGCAAGTATTGCGACGTATATACGATTGTACCGACCACTCACTCGCGCGGAATTGGAAGCATGTGCGGAAGTGGAAGCATGTAATATGAGATTTTTCCCTCACCCCATTAGGAAATCAATTTTTTGTGAGCCACTTGACCAGCTCTTATCAGGACTTTCTTTCCCAAGAGGAAAGTGACTGGGACGAGGTTCGGAATATACGTCCAGAAATCTGTTGTATTGAGCGGCGTATTGAGTATACATGCAGTATTATTATTATTTTCCGTGTGTATTTATATAAAGCTAATGGAAGTGCCTGGGCAAAATTCGCCAAAATGTATCACAGAAATGGAATCGGTCATGAAATATTCTCATGTTGAACTATATATGTAAATTTCCCTCCAACCTAGTTCAATAATAAACATTGTAAAATATAAGAGGAAATACACTTATCCCTGTAACTGATTCGTGGGAACTTAACATGAAATCTACTAGACCTTTACACGGTTTCCCAGCCTGTGACGTCAATGAAGTCGATTAACCTGTAACTCAAGTGCCGTGTGCCAGGCCACGATTTTCAAACTTTTCGGAAAGATTTTTTTAGTTTAATTTAATTTAAAAACTGTTTCACTGGTCGGTATGGCGTGAAAACCAGACTGGGCAGTTGCGTTTAGAGAGCGAGCCCAATGAAAGAAACCCGGCCAGCTCTAAAGGACTCCTCAGCCAGTAAGATTGTTTCATTTACACAAAATTGACCAGGGCCGTAACTAGACGCGATAATTGGGGTGAATATTGAATATTCATATACTCGTGTTCTGCCAGACGGATTTCTTTTGAAAGCGATTGTTTTTAGGGTATGTGAACATGATTAAATGAATATTCACAAACCTCCCCCTTCCCTCAGTTATCGCGTCTAGTTACTGCCCTGAAAATGACTATAAAGAAAATTTACCTGTTGAAGTACATTCAACCCCAGCATCCTCATGGTGTCCGCAACCATGATTTCTCCATCCGCCGTGCGAACAGTTTGCCAAATTTTCTTCATTCCCGTTACAATGTATATTGCTTAGCCAAATCTGTCCAGAACCATCAGGAACATTACTGCCACTGAGAGCTCGAACAGCATTCAGATAACCAAGTTGACGACATACAACTGTAGCATCTTTTCTATCCCAATAATCATCACAGATTGTTCCCCATTTACCTGCAAAGAATACTTCAACACGGCCAGTACCATTTGCACTTGATGGCCCTTCCAACCTGAGAGATATCGCTGTAAAAATTTAAGACAGTTACTGAGGCAATGTCGTCACATCACTATCAGATGTGAATGCATTTGGAAATGTAAGGAAATGAATGGGAAAGGAAAAGAAATGAATTTTTATAATCGTGTTAAACTATGAAGGTAAACAAAGTTTTGTGCGAATAAACGGACAATGGATCAGAACGAAACTCCAGAAAATATGTATAGGGTGTATCAGGCACGGCATTTATTGCTAAGTCCAGGTCTAAAACTAAAAATGGTAGAAAGTACAATAATACCTTAAAAATTTCCAAATATCATTGGAATTCTGGGCAGTTAGCTTATTAATTACAACAATGGAAATGTTGCTTTTTTAGTTGGCACATTGCATTTTTTACCTGCGCAAACCGTCCCATTCCAAGAATATCCACTATTACAACTGCACAGAAACGATCCAACAATGTTGATGCATCTTCTGTTTTGGGGACAGTTGTCAATAGATAGAGAACATTCATCGATGTCTACAAAGAAATGTAAAAAGTGAAGAAAACAGCACGAAGTGATGACAGTTTTAAGTTTCCTGTAATAACAAGATTGCCTCTATTCACCTACCAGTACAAGTCTCGCCATGTCCGGTATAACCATGGTTACATCTGCATGAAAAACTCCCAATAGTGTTAATACATTGGGAAAATCTGCCGCAGTTGTTCAATCTTGAGGAACATTCATCTACATCTGTGTAGAATAATCAAACATGTGTGTATATTAAGTATACCAAACGTGAACTTGTTTCCGATACTTGCTGAAGCGGTGCTGACAGAATTGTGTTTTTAGTTCAAGCGCTGGACATTACTGTTGTGCATGCAAGCTCTGTGGGATACAAAAGATGCCATAAGTGTTCAATTTAGGTAACGAATGTATATATATATATATATATATATATATATATATATATATATATATATATATATATATATATATATATATATATATATATATATATATATATATATATATATATATATATGATAACTTTTTTAAGGTTTGTAGCTGCTCTAGTTAAAAACTTCCTTATGTTAACGGAGTTTCAGAAAAAGGAAAAAGTATTTTAACCAATGCAGGAGTTCGGGTCGCGTTAAAACCAGTACTAACTTTAGGGAATATTTTTCGCAAGCCCAAAGCAAGACCGTCAGAAGACAGAACAAAAGCTATTGTATACAAATACAAATGCAGAGAATGTCCATTTACATATATCGGTGAATCAAAGAGATGTTGGGCGACAAGGTGGTTAGAACACAAACCGGGAGTTAGAAAGAGAATTTTTTCGACAATAGAGGAACACGCTGAATGCACTGGTCACAACGCTGCAAAATCAGACGCTTTAATATTAGAAAAGGGAGTTAAGAACTACGAACAAAGGATTTTCTTAGAGGCTTTACATTCCACTCTTAGTGAAAACACGGCTAATGAACATACTGAATTTCCGGCTTGTTATTCTATATTAGCAGATGAAATCAAGCGGAACGATAAACATTATAAATAGAGGTGTAATGACTCTTGCCATATACTCTGATGAAGGC